GAAGCTGAGAGTGCATGAAAGCCTTTCAGGAGAGAATTTGGCTTCAAAAGAATCATTTTGCTCAATTATTAAAGGAAGCTATGAATCCAGGAATCAAACCAAGGCTATAAAATAAAACTTTATTCTTTCTAAAATATTAGCAGGACCACTGCACTCATGAACTCACAGCATCTGTGGTTACCTGTACTAGATCTGCACAAGGTAAGTCCAGGCAGTACTCTAAAAAGCTGATGGCTTCTGGGAGAGAAATAGTCAGTATTCTTTAAATGTTCTTTAAATGTTTAGCTCTTGGTAGGTAAATGGCTCTATGCCCGGAAGTATATGGACAATGCAAATTGGAGTGCATGGGTTAATAATTTTTTTAAGTAGACATAATTTTCACATATAAGGAGTTGGGGTGGAGCTGGGAGGAATTAAAGGAGAAGTTGGAGTGAATATCATTTAAATACTTGACATGAAATTCTAACAGAAAATTTAAGGGTAAATTGCAAAATTTTGTGGTATTTAATAGGGAAGGGAGATAAGGGCAAATGCTGGCAATGATGTGCTGATGTCAGTGCAAACTGCTCAGCCACTCTGTAAATCAGAGTAGATAATTTTCAGAAAATTAAAAATAGCCCATTTTACACAGTGAGTTTCAGGCCAGCTAGTTTCTACAGGGAGACTCTGTCTCAAAAAAACTCTTAAGACCTACCTTATGACCCAGCTATATTACTATTTGATGTATACCCAAGGGTCTACATATCTTACTATAGAGATACTTGCTCAGTCATGCTTATTGCTGCTCTTTTCACAATAACTAGGAAGTGGGAACAAGTTATACTGTCCCTCAGTTGATGAATGGATAACAGAATTGTGTTACATATACACAATGGAGTTCTATTTAACTGTAAAAAAATGAATTCATAAAATCTGTAGGTAAGTGGCGGGATCTATTAAGTGCTACACTGACCGAAGCAACCCAAACTTAGAAAAAAAGGTAATGCATAATCTCTCTTGTTTGTGGATCCTAGCTCCAAATCATTTGATGGGAGTACATATCCTTAAGTAACTGCAGGAGCCAAGAATGTAGAAAGGAGCCACAGGGTCAAGTGAGATAAGGAGCTTAGAAGAAGTGTACAGTAGCAAACAGGCTTTATCAATTGGGAAAAGGAGAAAATGGAGGTACTTTAAATACTGGGGGAAGAGGAGGCTATTCAGGTGAAAGACAGAGGAAAGAGATCAGAAATATTTTGGTGGTCTGACAAACCATAAAGAAATATATTATTTCATAAACTGCTGGCTTAAATACACATATATATGTGAGTGCATGTGTATAACTGAAGGCAATATAACAAAAATCACAAAGCCAGTCACGGGCAGCCTTGCTATGAGATGTTGTTCATGATATTCCAAGAGACTCCAAAAATAATAAAGGTATTGCCACAGCCCTTAGTTTTTACCCCAGAACTTCAAGGTAAGACCTTATGGATGAAGACAAAAGTACTTTAGACATGGGAGTTGGAATAATTGACCTGGAACTGATGTGGAAGCCTCCTCTTTAAACCTAGCCCTGCTGGAATCAGAAGGTATTATGCTAGCTGCCAAGGGAGAAAAGGAGTCAATGGTCCTATGCAGCTGTAAAGCCTGCAAAGTACAACAATAACAATGACAGTCCCAACAAATATCTCAATAGTGGCACATTTGAGCTAATCAAGAGCTGTCTAATTGGATTTAGGGCCCACACAATAGTAGGGAATCTATACATAGTACTGTAAACATAGACATGTACACATAGTTAGATTTGTGATAGGCCCTAGTGAAGAGCCTTCTGCTGCAACTTTCCTAGACCAACCCAATTCCTTACTATATTCTAAGTATGTATCCTTATATTAACAGAGAACTGTAGCACTCACCACTTATCAATGAAGCTTATTATTGCAACAGATGGAAACTGTTACAAAGTTCCACTACAGGTCAAAATGCAGAGAATAACTGTGCAGTGTCCAACCCTAAATGATACATTCAATGTAATGTGTACACCTACATCACAGGGTGCATCAGGAAAGAGGGTCAAAAAATTAAAAGAACAAGAGGTACAAGATGCCTACTGCTAGGTAATGCATTTTAGACATAAGCCATACCCATGCAAGATCCACTGTGTGGTAACCTTACAAGAACTGCATAATGATAAAATCAGTTGGCAAGCCAATGTGGATGAAGGAATTTTCACATCAGGTTGTCAGTCATTAGTTCGCTGGTAATTTATCAAACCTGATGTGGTCAACCCTAAACACATGTATGTACTAGCACCACTAAATGGAATCTGTGTGTTATAGAGAGATCTATATTTATAAATAAATGTACCTGTAACAATAATAAGAAAACAAAAATACTGAAGGAGTAGAGAGGACATGAGAGGAGTTGGAGGGGTACATGGAGGGCAGACTGGTGTAACTGATGTAAATATAATAAATACTCAGGTTTGAAAGTCTTAAAATTTTTTTTAAAGCACAAAGTAGGGTTGACAAGGAGCTGGGAGTAGATCTAGGAGGAGCTTGGAAGGGGGATGAATATGATCAAAATATGTTATAATAAATTCTCATAGAATTAGTAATAATATTTTAAAAATAATAAAATAAATAAATTCTAAAAACTAGAATTCTATTCCTGAACATCACAGTATTTATAAAAGCATTTTCAAGTAGAAC